CTTGCTGAAAACAATAAGGCAGGTGATTTATCACTCAAGCTAGCAGAGCTGGACCCCAACAGTTTTTTGTAAATTTTCCCATCAAATTTGGGGAAGAGAAATTGGACAGTGACAACCCCGCACGATCAGGGAAAACACCACCTCAATGACAAAAATTCCTCTTTTTTTTTTAAAGTAAGACTCTTTAAGTAAGACTCCTCCCTTTAAAATAAGAGTCACGATCTTGACTGGAAAAACATTTTTTCCCCTGGACATTTCACAGAAACATGGGGGGAGCCAGGGAGGCTGTAGACAAGCCTTTCACACAAACACATGTAAGACCAGGCAGAAGCTGCCATACCTAAAAATGATGCGGGCACATAAGCACAGGGGTGGGATTCAGCCGGTTCAGACCAGTTTGGGCGAACCGGATGATAATTTTACATCTAGTTCGCTGAACTGGTAGTTGCAAGGACTGGCTGGCCCTGCCGACACCGCCCCTCCCCTCCAGGAGTCTCCATGCAGCCTGTTTTGGGTGCCAGGTAAGTGCAGCATCCATGCAGAGGATCTGGGAGGACGAAAAATGGGCCTCCCGGAAGTTCTGGAAGTCTGGAAACGGGCCCGTTTCTGGGCTCAGGAGGGCCTCCAGAGCCCAGGGGAGGCTGTTTTCGCCCTCCTGGAGGCTCAAGGAAAGCCTCCAGAGCCTGGGGAGGGCGAAAACGCTACCCCCCCACCATGGTACAGGAGGTCGGGTAGGCCACACCCACCATGGCCACGCCCACCCAGCAACCTGGCAGAGAACCAGCTGCTAAAATTTTTGAATCCCACCCCTGCATAAGCAGAGTGGCTGAACAGGAATCTTGTCTAAAAGATCCCTGCAGGAGATAGATAAGAAGGAACTAAGTCATTAAGGAAACAAAGGAAAAATGTCACCTAAACCAGACAAAAGAAGCTGGGCCTGAGCAAGCGTGGGGAAAAAGGTAAAAGTAAAAGTTTCCTTGTCTAGTCGTATCCAACTCCAGGTGAAAGTTCTCATCTCTGTTTCTTGGAAGAAGGAACCAGCGTTGTCCGACAATTTTTCTGTGGTCATGTGGTCAGCATGGCTATACGCCAAAGGCGCATGGAACATTGTTACCTTCCCACCGAAGTGGTGCCTATTTATCTACTCATGTTTGCATGCTTTCGAACTGGTAGTTGGGCAGGAGCTGGAGCAAGGAACGGGCGCTCAACTGTTGCGCAGTGCTCGGGTCTCAAACTCGGGCTGTCAGCTTTCCAGCTGGCAAGCTCTCAGCATCTTTAACCACTGCGCCATCTCATCCCCTTTTGCTCTTCCCAAATCCCATCAACAACTACCGGACTGTAACAAGAGTAGCTGTAAAATCTTGTGGATCAACCAAGCAAGGGCTTTGGGGGATAAAAGGGATCCTGAAACCCATCCAGTCTTTGAGCCTAGATGTTATGGCCCATGGGTAAGGGGTCAAGACATCCTGGGTAGGGGGTTATGATCCCTGGTGTTATGATCCCTGGATAAGGGGTTAGGACACCCTGCATAGAGTTTTAAGACCCATGAGTAAGGATCTAAGATTCTTTCCAACCAGATAATTCTATTATTCTTTGTTTTTATTATTCTATGATTCATCAGGATACTATGAGTAATGATTTAAGTTTTAAGGCATTCTGGGTGTTAATAACCTTGGGCAGAGGGTTAATATCCCAGGGTGTTAATATTCCTGGATAGAGTATTAAGACATGTTGGGTGTTAGGTCATCCTAGGTTGGTTAAAAGGTCCCTTCCAATCCTATAATTCTATGTTCTTTGCTTATATGACTCTATGATTGACCGGGACATGAATCAATCACTAGAGTCATGCCCTCAATTTGGGCTTACAAAAGTATTATTATTATTATTATTTAATCTTTAGTGAGATTCACAGCCTTTGAGGCTGGTTAATAGCTCAGCAGCTGGAGTCCTAACCAAGGACCTAGGAACTGTTAAGGTATCATCGGAGGATGTAAGCTGTTCTGAGTAAGGTGGTTTTTTGTAGAGTCAAAATGTTCAAGTCCGGCAAATTTAGAATTTCTAAATAGCAGGGTAGCCCTTTGGGTATTGCTCCAAGGGCTCCAATTACAATCGGGATTGTATTATTATTATTATTATTATTATTATTATTATTATTATTATTATTATTATTATTATTATTATTATTATATTATTATTATTATTATTATTATATTATTATTATTATTATTATTATTATTATTATTCATATTTCTATGCCGCCCACTCTCCGAGGACTCTGGGCGGCTTACAACACTCGACAGTATACTAAATAGCATATTGCCCCTAACAATCTGGGTTCTCATTTTACCCACTTCGGAAGGATAGAAGGCTGAGTCAACCTTGAGCCTGGTGAGATTTGATCCGCTGATCTGCTGAACTAGCAGTCAGCTGAAGTAGCTGCAGTACAGCACTCTAACCACTGCGCCATCTCGATATATGGTTCTTTCATACTAACCTTCACACTGATTTCAACAATGTCAAACATGCATCCTTGGTATTAAAACATATGATGCATTCAAGGCTGAAAATACTGAACAGCTTTGTACAGTATTAAAGGATAGCATTCATGAGATCCCTGTCCACCAAAGACATTTTGGCTCAGCAGAGGGAAAAATGGATTGCAATGTAAAACATTTAGCAGGTAGTAGAAAATATTGCCGTATCGACTGCAATTTTTTGATCTTCCCATAGTAACTTAAGAGGGGTCTCAAGGAGAAAGAGAAGTGGGTCTCAAGCTTTAAATAGAGCTGGTTGAATTATTCATTGTCAATAAGAGGATTATGTTGAATAAATTATTCAAAATACCTCATACTCCCACCTGACTAGCTCTGTGAAGGTATGATTTAGCCAGTTTCATCAAGAACCTGAGAGATACTCTCAAAGAGGACGGGAACCGAGATATTTAAAGTCCATATCAAAGTTGCTCAAACATTATAATGAGAAATTTAACTGCACTTAGAATACAATCTATTCCTTTCATCAAATGCAAATGCCAGGCTATTCCACAGTTCAGTGTGGCTTTGAACTAAGTGCAGACTTCTCTTTGCCAAGTACAAATAGCACAAGAGCGTATGGATGATGGTATTTTACCATGCCAAATGTCGCTTGAAGGAGACTGTGCATCCGGGTACAATGTTGAGCTAAGGGTGAGTTTGATTGGATCACTCCAAGGGTTTGCTGATGGAGAGCATTTTCAAATGCATCAGCACAAGGTCAAAAGTTGGCTTGGATTTTACTGTGTTCAAAACAGGAGGTTCGCTACCGAGTTCAACTCATTGTGTGATTGAGAAGGAAGCACAGAAAATCTTGGTTGGTCTTTCCTTGTTAACCCCCATTGTTCCATTGATGTCATCACACTAAGGGGTGCATTTGATATACTGCAAGCTGAGAAAGCACTTATGTGTTTTGTATTACTGGTAATAATGTTGTCTTTTTAAAGTCTTCTAACAGCTGAAGGTAATAACCCTCACTCATGTTGGAATCTAAGGGTGTGTTTGTGTCATTTCTTCCTAGCATGATGTCTTTATTTACCCTAGAGACTGTTTCCAAGTCACAATATACACAGCAAAGCAGAAAGCGGAGGCCACTTTTTGTACAGTGTATCAATGTAGCTATGAAAGCCTTGTCCAAAATTCAAGAGAAAGCAGGTAGAATAGTTTGTCCTCCTGAACCTGGTATCATCCAGCTATCTGATACCACAATTCCCATCATACAAAACTGGCTTGGCCACACCCTGAATGACAGGTGTTGTCATCTACTGCAGTGTTTCTCAACCTGGGCAATTTGAAGATGTGCGAATTTTAATTCCCAGAATTTCCCAGCCAGCATAGTTGAATGACAGGAGTTGCAGTCTATTGATGGGAGTTGTAGTCTACTGCAGTGTTTCTCAACCTGGGCAGTTTGAAGATGTGCGAACTTCAACTCCCAGAAGCTTCAACTATGATGGCTGAGGAATTCAGTAGACTACAATGTCCGTCAGTAGACTACAACTCCGGTCAGTAGACTACAACTCCTGTCATTCAGCTATGCTGGCCGGGAAATTCTGGGAGTTGAAGTCCACACATCTTTAAACTGCCCAGGTTGAGAAACACTGCAGTAGACTACAACTCCCATCAATAGACTACAACTCCCATCATTCAACTATGCTGGCTGGGAAATTCTGGGAGTTGAAGTCCACGCATCTTGAGAAATACTGGTCTACTGCAATAAATTTGGACGGCTGCAGATGAGGGGGAATAAGTTTTCAGTACCATAGACAGCTCCCATTAGACCATTAGCCAGTTTTGGACATCAGCTGAAAGATGAGTTATTCTCCTCCTTGCTGGTTTTTTTGTTTGTTTTGTTTTGTTTTGTTTTTATGTTCTAATCTGTTACTAGGCTATTTAGTTTTTCCTTTGCTATGCTTTCTCCTTTTCTTCCAAGAAGCTCAAAATAGCGTTAGTCATTTGGAAGCAACCTTTCCATCGCCTTTGGTTCACTGGATGTCGAAGAAGATTTCCATTCCAGCTGGCCATTAGGAGAACTACCACATCTTTTGCAGAAGTAGTGGATGCATATATATATATATATATATAAAGCTTTGGGGAAGGAACCGTCTTGTTTTATTCCCTGCATGGCAACTACTCTGAAAGGTTGGGTAAACAAAATTAAGAAAGAAGCAATTGTCTTCACCACAACTGCCATGAAAGTATGGTAGGTTGCTTCCCCCTTCCCCCCATCATCAGTTCTTTAGCTGTGTGTGAAAGAGGAAAGTGAACTGAGTTCCTTATCACTAAATCACAGTGATGAGGGTGATCATTTTACATTCCTCAAATGGAGTAAGCTTGGCTACGATTGATACCCAGCAGAATTCTGTGGATGTCTCTCAAAAGGACATTTTACTGACTTCAGTTGCATTTGCGCCCAAGTTAGTTCTATTTTTACAGATGATTGTGTAAGTTTCTGGGCTACACATATTTTTTTTATTGATCCACAATACCAAACCTTTCATCTTCCTTTTTAACAAAGATGTGATTCAGTTTTTGGCTGCCTGTACCCTCTGAAGCCAGCATGCCGCCTATCAATACCAATCACATAGGCAATCTTTTTTCCCATCTTGCAGTTGTATCAAATATGCACATGCCTATTAGATGGAGATCTGGTTAGGAGGAACTTAAATGCCAATGGGTGCAAGTTTTCTAAAGGTTCTTTTGGCAAATAGTCTGCTGCTACTTCTCTCTGCTTTGGGGGCATCTGGAAGACAAAGATTTCCTATTGTTATTTGACTGGTCAGATGGAAAGATTAGAAAGATGATTATACAATGCACAAGTTCTGAATTTAAGCAACTTACAGGCTTTGTTCATGCAGGTCTTTTTACCAAGTCGGTTGCATTCCCACATCATACAAAACTTGGTTTGTGTTGGTCTTAGTTGGTTAGAGTTTTGTGTGAGAGAGAGTGGAATATTGCATTCAGTTTTGGTCGCCACGATGTAAAAAAGTTGTGGAGACTCTAGAAAGAGTACAGAGAAGAGCAACAAAGATGATTAGGGAACTGGAGGCTAAAACATATGAAGAACGGCTGCAGGAAATGGGTATGTCTAGTTTAATGAAAAGAAGGACATGATAGCAATCTTCCAATATCTCAGGGGCTGCCACAAAGAAGAGAGGGTTATTCTCCAAAGCACCCGAGGGCAAGACAAGAAGCGATGGATGGAAACTAATCAAGGAGAGAAGCAATTTAGAACTAAGGAAAAATTGCCTGACAGTTAAAACAATTAATCAGTGGAACGACTTGCCTCCAGAAGTTGTGAATGCTCCAACACTGGAACTTTTTAAGAAGATGTTGGATAACCATTTGTTTGAAGTGGGGTAGGGTTTCCTGCCTCAGCAGGGGGTTGGACTAGAAGACCTCCAAGGTCCCTTTCAACTCTGTTATCCTATTCTATTCTGGGGGGGGGAATAGATAGAGGGGGAGGAAGAGATGGGAGCTAATGAAACTCAGCCTATTTGGTTCACCAGATTATGCAAAACCAGGAACGGGGAGGTGGGGGGGGGCAACCAGGTTTAAATGGGTTAAGTCAACAACCCCCTCAAAATGCGTGGATCTGGAAAGTGGGCAAATTGAGCAGGCGGCTTAATTGCGCTGCGTGAAGAAAACCTGAGAAAGGAAGAGAGAGGAAGGGAAGGTTGGATTTGGGCATTCCCAGATGCTTTTCACTAAACTAGGCTCTTATCCAGCTCTGAGCTGAATCGGCAACCACACCAATGTATCACGTCGGGAGAGGCAGAGAGAGATGATCTCATCATCTCTGTCTTGTCAAGCGAATCCATCTCTCTCTCTCTCTCTCTCTCTCTCTCTCTCTCTCTCTTTCTCTCTCTCCATTCAACTCCTCCCTCCTTTCCAGTTTGCTGCTGCTGCTGCTGAAGCCAACTAGGGGCTGATCTCACCAGTTCCGGTCACGTTATTCTGTGTTTACGCCTTTGCTCCATCTCTCTCTCTCTCTTTCTCATCTGCTTCTCCTTCAACCGAGCAAGGCCGGCTGCAAAAGCATCTCCTCGACCCGCCGCCTCCGTCTTTCCCCATCCCATCCTCGGAAGGGGGAGGGGAGGGGAGGGGAGGGAGAGGGGAAGGGGGGAGCTGGCCAACCATCAGCTGAGAGGCCGCAACTTTCAACCTGCTGTCCTTTTTACCCGTTGCACCAGGATGCTTTGAAGAAGGGGGGAGGGAGAGAGGGGGAGAAGAAGAAAAAACCAGCACACCAGCATCGGGTGGGTGGAGGGGGGGTCTGTCTCCCTCTGCCTCCTCTGTGTTCACCCTCCCCCCCCCACCCTTCCTGGACTGTCAATCTTGGCGTACAGAGCGAAGGTGCTTGGATGGCCCTTGGAGGATCTCCGGAAGTCACCCTTGACTGTCCTGAAAGCTCCTTGCTTTGATGACCCCAAGTTGTGCCCCATCACATCTCGCTGTCTCCTCTTGATTTTGCACAGGTAAGCCCCAAAGGAAAAAGGGGAAGGGGGAAGAGAGGTGTGTGGATGATTTGGGGGGGTGGGGGGGTGGGGAGAGATGAGCGGATTCAGGGGAGGAAAAGAAGAGCTAGCTTGCCCACTTAGAGATCTAAGATCTGTTTTGGAATAGAAGTGAAGGGATTTCAAGGAGGCAACCGCTGTGCTTCCTGATCTAGGAGAGTGATCACGTGATCAAAATCCAGCTTCTTGGCAACTGTAAATTTATATTTTGCTGATAAAGAAATAAAGGGAGACTAGTATAGATCTATTTCAAGCTTTTTAGCTTTCATCAGCTAGCCATACCCTTACTCGGATTCGAACTTGGGCTTCCTGCATGTTAGGCAGTTGAATTAACCTTCTGAGCCACAAGTTCTCCTCCCTTCATATATATATATGACGGGTGCAGCGTTTCCCGGGGGGGGGGGGGGTCAGGCGATCCTCTTTTGCAACCATCTGATGAGCAAAGTCAATGGGGAAGCCAGATTCACTTAAGCTTGACTAGGTGGCTCGGTGGCCAAGACGCTGAGCTTGTCGATCAGAAAGGTCGGCGGTTCAGTGGTACGAATCCCTAGTACAGGTCTCCTGCGTGAGCAGGGGGGTTGGACTAGATGACCTCCAAGGTCCCTTACAACTCTGTTACTGTTACTCGCTTAACAACCGTGTTAACTGACTTAAACCCACTGCAGTGATTCCCTGAAGCAAGAAAGGTCGTAAAACAGGGCAGCAGAACTCCCTTAACAAAGGTCTCACTTAGCAACAGAAATGTTGGGATCAACTGTGGTCGTAAGTCGAGGACTACCTGTATCGGCCAGACTGAAACTCGTCTGCTCCTCCATAGTAACAAATCAACGAAGATTTGCATTGCGTGGATTTAAGGATCAACTTGGGGGGGAGGTGGAACAGCAGGCTCCTAATGCAGGGAAGAAACACCTGAATCTCTATGTCCAATTTCCCATTTGCCCCCCCTCCCCCCCTTTCCCTTCCCCTCCCAAAAAGTGCCCAGCTACAGTGAAGCAAACGCAGACTCTCTTGTGAAGCTGCCGCCTGCCTATTCTGGCTTGGAGATCCCACCGTCTGTCCTGGTTTGGGATTGTCGGCATTCTGTATTCCTGTTTATATATTCAAGTTTCAGCTGCGCACACCGGCCGGATCCAATAGAAGTTTAGCTGGGCAGATGAATCTCTTGCCGTTGGAGAAGAGGCTCCAAGAGCCTCGAGGGAACCATCCGGCTGAGTTGCCATGGCCGGGGGTGGGGGTGGGGGTGGGGGAAGGCTCCATAATGAAGGCTTCCTGTGAGCAGCTGCATTTAAATTCTGGGAAAGGAAACCCCTGGTGGGTCTAAAGAACGGAGACACTGATCCACAGCCTATCCGATACGATGAGCAATCTCACCATCTTTGAAACCTTCATCGTCAGAGTCTGTCTTTGCTGCAGCAAAGCCATTCATTCCCCCTACCCCCACCCCCACTTCTAGGATTTGTCTGTCTAGAGAAAGTAGAGGGGAAAAAACTGAGTATTTTTACTTTTCCCCACCACCACCAAACCTACATCTCCCTGGAGACCCATGTCTCCACAGCGGTGTCCTTTTACAGTCCACATCAACCGGCAGTCAACAAAATCTGCATTTCTGAATCACAGAAGTTGCCTTACGCTGATCTATCCCAAAGGTGCTTTTTTTTTCAAGAGGCAACTGCTGGACTTTCGGCGGGGGGGGGGGTTTGAAGAGGTTTTGCTTCTCCTCCAAGAAGCTTCTTCAGCTCTGAAGAATTTGCATCCTTTTAGAGGGTCCTTGAAGCACTTGGAGGTTTATCTTGTGTCCTCAGGGTCCGTCAGCTGCAAATGTCCAGCAGGGAATATCAATCTTTCCATTCCCTACCGTCCAGGCAGAGCTGAAGATGTAGGCTAAAAGTTGGGAGGCTATGAGTTCTAATCCTGCCTTAGGCATGAAGTCAGCTGGAGGACCTAGGGCCAGTCACCCTCTCTCAGCCCTAGCAAGCAAGTAATGGCAAATGGAGCCTGGATAGCTCAGCAGACTAATGCATTGTAATTTAACTCCAGCTGTCTGCAATTAGTAAGTTTGAATCTTGCCAGGCTCAAGGTTGACTCAGCCTTCTATCCTTTCTAAGGTAGGTAAATTGAGGACCCAGTTTGTGGGGGCAATAAGCTGACTTTGTAAAACATATACAAAAGGATGAAGGCTATTGCTTAACGCATTGTAAGCCACCCTGAGTCTCCGGAGAAGGGCGGCATATAAATCAATTAAAAAAAAAAAAACCCAATTTGGGAAAATATTGCTAAGAAAACTGGTTTAGGTTTTAGGTTTAGGTTTTATTTGATTTGTATACCGCCCTACTCCCGAAGGACTCAGGGCGGTGAACAGCCAACAATAAAATACATAAATACACAAAATTTAAAAACCCGATAAAATCAAATTAAACTTTTTGGCCCAGACAAATTAAAATACCCCAATAATTTAAAAACAGATTAAAATTTACATATTTTAAAAAGGGAAGAGATCTGCAGGGATTAGTCCAGGCAATCCCCTGAAGTGAAAAATGACTTGAAAGCATGCACGGATACTGTACAAATGGGTCATCCACTGTACATTTTCCCTTCGTGTCAAGAGGCCACTCTGTAGTCTAATGGCAAAAAAAGGGGACTCTGTGGCCCTCTGACTATAACATGCTCAACTAGTTAGTCACCTAATCAATCAGGTCAAAATCAGGTCCTGTTTCAAGTTTCAAGTTTATTAGATTTCTATACTGCCCTTCTCCCGAAGGACTTAGGGCGGTGTACAGCCGTATTAAAACACATAGATTTATAAAATTTAAAACCAAATTAAAATCAATACTATATAAAATTGGCCAGCAGATTTAAAACACATACGCCCATAATAAAATTCATATTAGGCCAGTCCGGCTTGCTGGAACAGGAGGGTCGTTGTTTGAGCAGGGGTTTGGACTAGATGACCTCCAAGATCCCTTACAACCTATTATTCTATGTTCTTAATTAGCAATTCCAACAGCACCCAAAGAACGGATGGTTCAATATCTATCTATCTATCTATCTATCTATCTATCTATCTATCTATCTATCTATCACTTTCTTGGTTCTGTGAAACCATGTTTCTCCAGAACGTCTCTTGAGTTTTTGTGTGAGGACAACATTCACAAGTCCCAATGACATCATATTAACCCCTTTATCGCTTGTTAGGGAAACGGCAGTAAGAGTAGCTTGGTTATTGCAGCTCCCCTGGGGTTTGAGAAATATGCTGTTCCGAGAGTTCTTGACAGAGAGTTCTGTCATAGAGAGACTTTCTTTTTTCAGCTGTTCTCTCTCGGCATCTCTTTTTCTTGGAGGTATAAATAGACACAATGCAAAGGCCTACGTAGAGTTTGCATAGTCTTTATAAAGGACAGGGTCCAGTAGTGAAATCCAAGTTTTTTTATTACCGGTTCTGTGGGCTTGGTGTGGTTTGGTGGGCGTGGCTTGGTGGGCATGGCAGGGGAAGGGTACTGCAAAATCTCCATTCCCTCCCCACTCCTGGGGGAAGGATATTGCAAAATCCCCATTCCCTCCCCACTCCTGGGGAAAGGATATTGCAAAATCTCCATTCCCACCCCATTCCAGGGGAAGGATATTGCAAAATCACCATTCCCTCTCCACTCCTGGGGAAAGGATATTGCAAAATCCCCATTCCCACCCCACTCCTGGGGGAAGGATACTGCAAAATCTCCATTCCCACCCCACTCCTGGGGGAAGGATACTGCAAAATCCCCATTCCCACCCCACTCCTGGGGGAAGGATATTGCAAAATCCCCATTCCCACCCCACTCCTGGGGGAAGGAGACTGTAAAATCTCCATTCCCACCCCACTCCTGGGAGAAGGATATTGCAAAATCTCCATTCCCTCCCCAATGCTTAACGCATTGTAAGCCGCCCTGAGTCTCCGGAGAAGGGCAGCATATAAATTAAAGCAAAAAAAAACCCTCACTCCTGGGGGAAGGATACTGCAAAATCCCCATTCCCATCCCACTCTGGAGCCAGTCAGAGGTGGTATTTGCTGGTTCTCCGAACTACTCAAAATTTCCACTACCAGTTCTCCAGAACCTGTCAGAACCTGCTGGATTTCACCCCTGACTGGGTCTGTTTGGAAGTTAAATTTCACCCTCTGGAGATTAGATGGCTGCCTTAAAAGAACGGGGTCTATATAGGTAATCCTCAATTTACAACAGTTCATTTAGTGACAATTCAAAGTTACAACAGCACTGGAAAAAAAGTGACTGATGACCATTTTTTCACACTTACAACTGTTGTAGCATCCCCATGGTCATGTGATCAAAATTCAGGCACTTAGCAACTGATTCATATTTATGACGGCTGCAGTGTCCTACTAGGGTTCATAGATGATCAGCTTTTGCGACCTTCTGACAAGAAAAGATCAGCGCAGATGGCAGATTCATTTCATAACCAGGGTACTAACTTTAGAAATGCAA